AGTGACGAGGGGTCGACATCGACACCAATTAGTGGTCCAACAAATCAAGTACAGTAGAAAGTAAACAAGTATGAGGCATGGTAAATAAACAGTGTAAGAAAATATAAGTACGTGGTACGATCCTTCTCTGAATGGTAAACACTGGCTCTCAATTATCGAATACCTCCTCAACCAGAGTATATATGTATATAAATGGTCCCCACCAGATAGGTCATCACAATTCAAATCAGGAAAACTCACGGATATACTGCCTTCTTGATAAATTTTACGCACGATTCTGCCGAGGCGAACGGCCCGATCCCAAAAGAGTTTTCCATGAAGTTGCCGAGGCGAACGACCCGATCCCATAAGAGTATTTTATAGAAATAGCGAGGCGAATGACCCTATCCAATAAGAATATGATACTGTCGAGCCGAACGGCCTGATCCCATAAGAATATGATATTGCCGAGACGAACGGCCCGATCCCATAAGAGTATGATACTGCCGAGGCGAACGGCCCGATCCCATAAGAATAAGAAGCTTTAACGGGTCCTTGACCCCACTCACGAATATACGTGTGAGTTATGAAATTTAAAGAAGCTTTTTGATGAAAACGCACAACGCGAGAGAAATTCATAAGGGAAGCACAATTATTCCGCGTCTAATCAAGTAGCTCATCAAATCTCTACAATAGCAAGTCTATCACTCTATGCAATCCTAGCCTCAGGCCGTAACATGAAATCAAGTAACTAAGCAGGCAAGAATAACTCAACTAGTACAATAAAGCATGGCGTGAATCCTAGTCTACCCAGACATAATCAGGAATTCTAACATGTGCACGGATGCTCGTCACCTCATACGTTCATAGATCCCACAACATGTAGCATATAACAAGAATAACACCTACGGGGTAATTTTTCCCTGACAAGGTTAGACAAGAGACTTACCTTGCTCCGAAGTTTCAAAACCGGCTCCAACGCCTCTCTAACAGCTCAAACCGACGGCCATCAATTTAAAACTAGTCAAATTATGTGAAAATCAATCAAAATATACCCCAATATGTACAATTTAACAATTTATAATGATTCTCAACTCCGCTTGAAAAGTCAACAAAGTCAACCCTCTGACTTACGTGCCCGAATTCCGAAATTGTTCTATAACATTACGAACTCAAATATATCATTTATTCTTAATTCCACTTCCAAAATCGTGGTCAAAATCCAAAATTATCAATTCTAGGTTTCTTTCAAAATCCCTAAATTTCTATTAATTTTCATGTTAAAATTCCATATGTGTTCATGAAATACAATCAAAAGTGATTTAGAAACACTTACTCTCAATAGGTGGATGAAATAGCTCTCCAAAATCGTCCCAAAGTCGGCTCCAAGAGGAAAAAAATGAGATGAAATGAGCAAATATCGTTTTGGCTAGCATATATATTCGGCCCAGTCGATTTTCCGCACCTGCGGAACTTCTTGCGCTTTTGCGGCTCCGCTTCTGTGGAAGCTACCTTGCAGATGCGGTTTCCCCCAAGGTGCCAGCTTTATGCTTATGCGAACATTCAATCGCAGATGCGCATCCGCTTCTGCGGAAATCACCCGCATTTGCGGACTCCCCAGCTCGAGAAACACTCCGCACCTGCCGATCCGCAGGTGCGCTATAACACCTGCATCTGTGATCTTCCAGCCCCAGACCACTTCCGATTTTGTGCCCCTCCGCCCGCATCTGCGAGACTGCAGGTGCAATAAATTCCTCTCACCTGCGAATTAAACCAGCCTCAATCCCAACCGCTTCTGCGACCCCTGGGATGCTTCTGCGATCTCGCACCTGCTGCCATAACCTCGCAGGTGCGATCACACTAGAAACCTTAAGCTTCAGTAATTCCTAAAGTCCAAAACTCGATCTGATTCGCACCCGAGGCCCTCGGGACCCCATCCAGTCATACCAACAAATCCTAAAACATGATACAGACTTAGTTGAAGCCTCAAATCATGCCAAACAATATCAAAACTATAAATCGATGATCGAAACCTTTCTTTAAACTTTCTAACTTTTAAACTTCGCCGAACGCGTCCAAATTACACTTGAACATCCCGGAATGACGCCAAATTTTGCATGCAAGATACCAATCACAATACGAACCTATTCCAAGGCTCGGAACCGCAAACAAACATTGATAACATCAAAATTCACTTCAAATCAAACTTAAGAAATTCTTAAACTTTCAAAATGTCAACCTTCCATAAGAAGCGCTGAAATGCTCCCAGGCTACCGGATACTCAACCCAAATATATGCCCAAGTCCGAAATTATCATACGAACCTATTGGAACCTTCAAATCCCAATTCCGTGGTCGTTTGCTCAAAAGTCAAACCATTGGTCAACTCTTCCAATTTAAAGCTTCCGAATTAAAAAAAAAATTCGAAACAACTCCGAACTTTTCGAAATTCAATTCCGACCACACGTACAAGTTATAATACATGAAGTGAAGCGCTACTCAAGGCCTGAAACAGTTGAACAACGTGCTAGAGCTCAAAATGACAGGTCAGGTCGTTACACTAAAATCATGCTTATGTCCGGGTAGACTTAGGACTATATCATGTGATATTTGTATTACTTGAACTCAACTTGTTAGTTTAATTACCAAAAACTTGTAAATGTATTTGATTAGAGATCATATTAGAACGAAACTCATTACCTTAAGGTGTTTGGCGGGATATTTGATCATTGGTAATAATTATGCTTACTTTATATTCCTGTTCTTGTGTTGCAAACACGTGGCTCGCAATTCGATAAGTTTCTTCTCTTCTCGTGGATCGGGCCGAACGCGTCGGAAGTATATTTAAGATGCATCTATGGTTCGTGTTGGTCGACCCTCGGTAGTGTACACATTATTCTGGATCGGTCCATACGACCTCCGCATAACTCATGCGTAATATCGCTAGGAGTCCGAATAAGCATGAGATTTTCCACATAGTTGAGACCTGGCATTTATATTTATATTCCTTATCTATTTGAGATAACACTTGATATTTCTTACCTGTTGAGATAGTATATGAGATTTGAGAAATTTATATTGTCATAATATTGGAGGATTTTTGTTAGTTACAGTTCTTACCTCATTATTGTTGTTGTGTTTCATATTCATTTATAATTTAATATAATGATTCATTGGATCATTAGTAAGTGTCGATGTCGATCGCTCGTCACTACTTCTCTGGAGTTAGGCTAGATACTTACTAGGTACGCGTTGATTTACGTACTCATGCTACACTTCTGCACTTATTGTACAGGGTACTTCTGGAAGTCATTTGGGCGCAAGGGAGCAACTATTGAGGGAACTTTACGATGAGTTGCATCCTATAATATGATCTACAGCTTACGGAGTTTCCATCATATTCATTTATGTTATTCTATCTATTTTGTATTTTAGACATATGTTGTATTTGTATTGCACTTTCTAGTAGATGCTCATGCACTTGTGACACTGGGTTTTTGGATCTTCTAGTATATGTTAATGATTTTACTTAAATATTGTCACCTTTTTATTTTATATCTTACTAATATCATATGTATCCATGATTTTTAAGTATTAATTTCTTTATTTAATAAAATTCATGATTTCAAAAGTAATAAAATTAATAAGTAGGTTGATAGTTCACTATTGGCTTGCCTAACGGCGACATTGGGTGCCATCTCAACCTATAGCGGGAATTGAGTCGTGACACTAGCCCACTGGGCATTTGGGTTATTATACACTCTCCAAGCGAGGCCTGCATGAATGGCATTATTTCTTAGGTCAGTTCTATGCACCTCTAGCCCCCCTTCATCTCTAGGTTTGGTGATGTACCCCAACCTACTAGGTGCATTTTCTTTTTTACAATAGTGGTTCCCCAGATGAAGTATCTTTGGATTCTGTCAATTTGGTTGCTCACATAGGCAAATACTTTAATATATTGCATGACATGGCTTGTGATGCATCCTAGTGAGGATTTGGCTAGTGTGGTTCTCCCAGCCATGTTCATGAAGTGGGTTTTCCAACCTGCCAGTTTGGTCTTCATGTTGTCTATGATGAACTGGAAGTCCCTATTGGTAGGCCTTTTGTGGAAGATAGGGTAGCCTAGGTATTTGCCAAATGATTTGCTGGCCTTTATGTCTATTGACCTGGCCAACCTAGCTACAGTATCATGTTGGCAGTTTGAAAAAAAGACAACTTTGGACTTGAGTGTGTTGACCCTTTGACCCGATTTACAACTGAATTGGTGCAGGGTATCCATGATGGTGTCACAGTTATTTGTATTTGCTCTTGCAAATAGAGTTAGGTCATTAGCAAAGAAGAGATGAGAAATTTTGGGTCCAGAGTGACTGATTTTGATTGGAAACCAACTACCATTACTAACTTGGGCCTCAATGCTCCTTGAAAGTCTCTCCATGCACATGACAAAGATGTAGGGAGAAGGAGACATAGGGTCTCCCTATCTAATGCCCCTGCTAGGGTGGAAAAAATCAGTCTTGCACCCATTCACCAGAACTGAGATAGAGCTATTAGAAATGCATGACATAATTAGCTTAGTCATATTATTAGGGAAACCAAATGACTCAAGGGTATATCTAATAAAGTCAAAAACCTTTTCTAAATTAATCTTAAGCATCATGCTAGCATTTTTCCTTTTCATTTTACTTAAGTGGTTGATATATTCCTGCACTACGATGGCATTGTCACTAGCTCTCCTATTAGACAGGATGTTGTAGATCTCATATTGGACATGATGCTGGCTTGACTAGTTCCAATGATGGAGGAGAGAACTGACTTGATTCTATTAACAATGAATTTATTAATTAGCTTGTACATTGTGTTGTACAACCCAATTGGTCTGAAGTTCTTAAGAATTGTGAAATTAGCACACTTGGGGATCAAGCAAAGATAAATTATGTTCATTGCAGGATTCATTTCAAAACTCTAGAAAGTTTGTTTACAAAAGTGTGTGACTTTGTTTTCCAAAATATTACAGAAACTTTGTTAAAAAAGAAGGCGGAGTCCATCAAGCCCAGGTGCCTTTGTTGTCTTGAAAGAGAACATGGCAGTCTTGATCTCACTAATTCTTAATGGGGCATTCAATCTAGCCTGGTCCCTACTGGAGAGGATGTTGGTGTTGTATGCTGAGCTCTGCCAGGGAGTAGGTAAGGAGTGATGATCAGTGGTATAGATATTGTTGTAGAATTGGTAGATGGTATCCTTAATCTCCTGTCGATTCTCTATCCAATTCCCAACATCACCTTGAAGTGCATTAATCTTATTTCTTCTTCTTCTATTAAGAGTTGAGGTATGGAAGAACTTAGTGTTGGCATCCCCTTCCATGAGCCAGCTAATCCTAGACTTAGTCCTCCAGAAAATATCCTCACTATTCAGAATTAAGGAGTATTCCTCTAAGAGGTCACCTTCTAACTTCTGAAGGAAGCTGCTAAATGGGTAGGCTCTGAATTTTTGGATGCGACCCAGCCTGGCCAGGATATGTTTCTTCTTATAGAATATATTACCAAAGACAATTTTGTTCCAGGTGGAAACTTGTGCTTGGAATTGAGCAGTCCCCCTCTCTAGACTATAATTCCCAGCATAAGCCTGTTGAACCACATTGGGAAAGGATGGGTGGTCACATCGCATGGGCTCAAACCGAAAGGATCTTAGAGAGTTTATTGCTAGGATTAGCCCACAGAGTGACTAACATTGGGCAGTAATCAGAATGGGTTCTAGGGAGGTGGGAAATAGAACTAGAGGGGTATTCCTGGAACCAAGAGTCATTTGCCAAACACCTATATAGTCTTTCTAGGATTAGTTGGCTTCTATTACTGTACCTCATATTATAGGTTAGCTCTTGGGGCAGAGATACAGTTTCCCCTACTTATCTCTGGCCATGAGAACTTCATTAAAGCCTCTTCTCACCAACCAGCTCCCATGATAATTATCAGGAATGGCTTTGAGCTGGTACCATAGATTCCTTCTGTTAGCCTAGATATTTCTAGCATAGATAGTAGTAAACAACCAAGGGGTAGAGGAGGGGCTTACCTTAATCATGAAATTGATGCCCTGAGAGGTGGTGGAGACCTCATCAATCTTCAAGATATCATAATTCCACATGATGACAATGCCTCCCGATAGACCCACAACTGGGGCTTGAATTAGGCCAGAGAAACCTAATTCCTGCGTCAGATGCTTGTGTTCAGTCATCCTGATTTCCAAGAGAACAAGCATGGCAGGTTTGTGCAGCTTGACCATTTTAGCACAGTGTCTTCTAAACTCCCCACTGTTGGCTCCCCTAGTATTCTAGATTATGAAGTTCATTAACAATTTGGGGTTGGTGGCTCACTTTCTTTTCAGGCATTTGGCTTTCCTCTTCCTTGGTGAGCCCTCCTAATTCTCCTGACCTGGAGGGTTCTGAGTCTGTTCCAGTACTGGGTTTAGGTTCATAGTTGAGTCTCCTGAGTCTTGTCCTAAGGCTAGCCTCAGCTTTACTCCGCACCTTACCATGCTCCTTGGGTATAGTACGATAAGCATTTCTTCCCCAGGCCCTCTAAACTCTATTTGTTCCTTTTATTTCAGGAGCATAGCTTTTGTTTTGGGTACTCCTAACTTTGCTATCGGGTCCTCCAGCTCTGTGTTATTTGCCTTTAGATGTTTGTAGATATTTTTCGACCCCACCACCTGGGTTGTTTTTGGTGGTGGGATCACTGTCCATGTTGGTTGGAAGGGTAGGCTGGGAATCCCCTCCCCTAGGAAAATTAGAGAGAAAAAGGGAAGGGTGTGGATTATCTGCTCCATTAGTGAGCTAAGTTGGTTTGTTGACAGGGTATGTTGACTCAAGGCCATCTAAGCTTGCATCAGTGTTGCTAACCATAGTTGATGGCCATAGTTTAGCATTGCATGGTTCAGACTTGCAGTAAAAACTTTAGCCAGGTAGTGGGTGTTTTGGATGACCACTATGATAGGGCAGTGATCCTATTTTGAAAGTTAGGGGGAAATCAGCCCCCTATAGAGCTATCTCTAGCCATGAAATTGGAATATGGTCCATGGGTAGAGGTGACGAGGTCACCGGGATGGGAGCTGGTTCCCCTTCCTGGTTCTGCATGTGAGCATGGTCTATGTGGGTGGTTTGGTTGTTCTCCATTCTCGTTGTTTTGGGTGGCAGTGGGGTTATCAATTCTTGTCAAGCAGGAGCTGCTATTTAAGTCACTCCCTTTCTCACTTGGGTTTCGTGCATGAAAATCACCCATTATTTGAGATCTTTAGGAGGCGACTACTTTCGTCAAGTCATCTGAGGGGAAATGATGAGGGGAAACACAGGGCGTAAGGTTTTGAGAGTTAATGTCACTCTAAGATATTAAATCTCTAACCCATTTTCCATTAGATGAGGTATTATGACTTGATTTTGACCCTTGAATGGGTCCCACTAATTGACTTTTAGTGGGTTAATTCTATACCATTTTTGGGATGGTAACTTGTGGAGGATAATTACCCGAAGTGGGTGCATGTATTTGGTCTGGGGATTTGTGAGTTACAGGCATTGTGTGCATGGTGTGTGTATGTGTGTCTGCTGCATGGCCCAAGTTGGACACATGTTGAGGTGTGTTTCCATTGTGGGCCGTCTGCATTAGGCCTATTTGCGTGTGCCTTTGGCATGCCTGCCATTTGCTGCCAGTCATGATGGGTTTTGGGCTGGTGTGACCCATATATGTTTTTTTGGGCCTGCTTCATTAGGTTGTTTTGATTTTCAGCCTTAGTGACGCCCTCACCGGTGCCGCCCTCATCGGTGCCGCCCTCCCCAGAGTTTCAAAGAATAGAGAACTTACCAGAATCCGGTGCATGTCTCCTACCTTCTGGTTGGTTGTCCATTAACCCCGGCTGCCCGAGATTTTGACGCTCCATTGATGCTCCCTTCCGCCGTGCTTTTCTAGGGAATTCCACCATCTTCCAGTCCCTGTCCTCCTAAGTAATTGTGCTCGCTGTGGATGTATTTTCCTTCCCCTCTGCCTCTTGTGGTGGTTAGAGAGTGCATTTCCCTGAGAGATGGCCTATTCTCCCACACCTTTTGCACAGATGACCCTCACCCTCATACTCGATCAGCTGCCTATGTTCTCCAATCGCCACATCCGTCTGAAAGGGAACCTCAATTGGCACTTAGATACAGATTTGTGCATATCTTCCTCTTAGGGTGAAAGAGGTGCACGTATCTATCTTTAAGAGTTTTCCCACCCTTGTTCCCACCTTTTCTAGAAATTCTTTATCATAAAATTTTGTGGGCAGTTAGGGTAACCGGATCCAAATAGCCGTGGTTTGGATTCTTGAGACGACCAGCACGAAGTTGGGCTCCCAATTCCTGACTGAGAGGAAATAGCCCATGATAAACCATGAGCCTCTGTGCAAGGCTTTCGTCATGTTCTCTTCCTTTTCAAACATGACTATGAAGAATTCCCAGCCTAGATCGATGAGGATTATTTGCTCTGTGGGGGTCCAGAGCTGTTGAAGCTTGGCTTTTAGGACATGGTGTGGAATTGTTTTCCCAAAGACTTTGAGGATAATTGAGAATCTCCAGGGATGATAAATTCTCAATTTTTGTTCCTGGCTTAGGATGATGGGCTCTGAATTGTCTTCCATCCTAGTTTTCTCCAGCATTGTTCTGGCTTGGTGGTATTGGGGGAAGTAGACACTTGACTTTGTCAAGTTTTTTTCCGATAATATTTCTTTGAAAGTGTTCCTTTTCAGAGTTGTTTCAATTTCCATAGGGGCTGAACTAATGTCAGGTGGGTCAGGCAGTTTTAGTACTGGTAGCGATATTTGGTCCTGTGCACGGAGTGGGGATGAGGCCATATTGGGGGGAGGGAGATAATTATGGAGAGAGAATTTTTCACTTCTGAACTTGGTAGTGCTGTTTTCTTATTAATTGTGTTTCTATAATCAACAACCCATTCTCTTGCTCCTAGATAATTCTAAAATCTCAAATTGTTATAACCAATATTATTCTTGATCACCAATAAGATAAACAACACCCTTAACCATTAATCAATAATCAACAACCTAAACCTATAATTGCTCATATTTTTCTATCAAACTCATCAACTCATCTCTCATGAACTTAGAGTATGTAATCATTAATCCAATGCTATAATTAATTAGAGGGTAAAGATATTACTTTTTTGACGTTCAATCCTCTTGAATTTGAGTTACAGGGTTTCTTTTCTCAACAATGATGTCTCAATCGAATATCTAAAGATTTGAAGGGTTTATCCATATTAATAAGGTGTTTATGAATTAAAATTAACTTAGAATCATCATTAGAACTTACCTTAGATGACGGAGGGACCTTGGAGGAAGTTGGGTTCTTGAGAGCTTTCATTTCTAGAGCAAATTACGTATTTGGGGGGTAGGGAACGAGGTAGGGATTTTAAAACGGCCCTATAGGTGCGCTTCCACACAACTGAAGGCCCAACTGCACACCTGGATGTGCAGTAAGGGCAGTGGCACTGCCACAAGTGCACTTCCGCACACGTCACAGCTGAGCGCGCAGCTGAGCGTACAAACTGCACATTGTCCAGTAAAATGCGTATAATATTTTGCACATAGATCCTTTCGGGATCCACAATATATCATTGGAAAGGCATTTTAAAGGGCTACAACTTTCATGTTTTATGTTTTCTCAAATTACTAACAATTTTTCATGAAACCAGACTGGAAGACATACATTCTATAAACTTAGTCGATTTTATCGAATCTTATGCACCTCATTCTCCGTCTTGATTCCAAAATAACTATTTCCACTCATACTCATTCCGATAGGACTTCACATGTCTAAAATGTCACATTAATACTTATTTAACACCACCACACCTAATCTGAATTTACGGAGTGTTACATTTTTCTACTTTGATTAATTTTATTTTTTTGTAAATCTTATATTACATCTATAAAAATTAGATTTCAAATAAAAGAAAGAAAATCAAATAAAAACTAAATGTCCTCTAAAAAGCATTTACTCAAAAGCGTGTAAATTTATTTATACAGACATATATAATCGAATTGTTGTTTGAGATATTTAGCCAAATATATTTGCTACAGTGCAGTATAATAAAAAAATATTACTATAAAAATTATAAAGTTTTTAGAAGCGGTTAATGGAGTTCTAAAATTAGTAGAAAATAATTTTCTTTGCCCTATATTATCGTAGAATTAAAATAACTAGAGTAAACTATTAATGAAAAAACCCTTTTACTCGGAGAAAAAAATTTAGAAAAACTATTTATAATTCTAATAATTCACAGAAGGAAAGTTATTTTCTTAAAGTCATTTGTCTTTTTTCCGAACAATCACGCGAAGCGCGGATTAATTTACTAATTTATACATAATGTCAAGGGACTTACGAATTATCTCGCCAGCCTCTATACTGGCTCATAGAGAGATAGGAATAAATTTAAAATTGACTTTCGCACTGTAAGCTTCCTAATCCTATATAAATGAACAGTATGTATATTGTAATTCATCAATCTTGTCATTGCCAAGTGTAATATCCCGCTAATGGTGCAATATATCACCAAAATCAAAAGAACGGAAATATAACAAAATCGCATTGGATTAACTTTCTTAATTTCATCATTTATTTGCATGTTGGTTCTTAACCAAAACTCCCTTAGCATGGTCTTTGCTTTTACCCTTAGCATTTGGCTCGTCAAATGTTTGTCATTTTCTTTCGTCATAGAAAAAGGACAGATTTAGGGTCGAGATTTAGCGAAGCCAAATCTCACGCCCATATAGCTCACTATGCAGAAAGTCAATATATATGTCTTGTTTTTGTGCTTATAGATTTAGTAATATTTATTTTTAATGGTGAGGGTTATTTCAAGTTAACAAATATTAGCCATTTGTTTCAATATTTTGTTGTCAAAAATCTTATTGACATATATGAAGACTTATGTAATTTAATTCAAAGTTTAAAATATTAGGTTGTACCGCCAAAAATAATAAACTTGGAAAGAATATCTACTACATTCATAATGTCATAACCATACAAGGAAATAATAATTTTTTTTTAGAAGTTAAGGCCAAATAGATAAATACTCCTTAAAGTTGGCCTCAATTTTTATTGGCAGAAATATTAGGGACCCCCCTATACTTGACGACTTTTATTTAGTTTCCCCTTTTACTATACGGGGTTCCTAAATAACCCCCCTCCCCCCCTC